ATTTTACAACATTATTTTTTCTTTAACCACATCATATAAAACAAAACTAACAAGTACATATTTTATTTTCTATATTTGAAATTGCTTTAATCTTATGATTGATTACGATTCAGTTTTACTATCTGTAAAACCGACACATACACATTCGACTTCGATATAATTAAAATTTTACATGTTAACGAAACAATGTAGGAAAATAAAGTAAATTATAATTATAAATACCGTGTGTACATTTGCATACGAATGTTTTCCTAATTTATGTAGTTTCATATCCAATAAATAAATTTTCAAAATCTGTCGAAAAAGGAAATTCCCAAGAACACTCTATACATTTTTATTTCCCACGTTAAGTTAACTATGAACACCATAATAGCTCTCCTGAAGGTACCAATAGGACAGCGACTGTTATTCGCATCAGAAATCGAATGTTTCCAGGAGTAATTTTTAATTAAATAGCAATTTTAAATTAGTATTTTTGAGATCGTTAGTAACGATTGTTTACCTGTATAACACCACCACCAGGTCCTTCGTTGCAGTTTAGAAACTCCTTTGGCAGCCCTAACAATTTTCCAAACCAATTCATCGTTATTACTTCGAGTTCAGTACACGCAGGAGAAGCGATCCATGAAAACCCAACACAGGTCAGTCCGGCGCTTAAAATCTCACCCACGATTGCAGGATATGAATTCCCTGTTGGATAGAATGCGTGAAATTGCGGCGAGCCCCAATGAGTCATCTGGAAATAAAACAGCTGATTTAGTGGAATAATAGACGGTTAGATAAATAAATAAATAAACGATTTACATAGTTGAATAATAGGGGTGCAGTACAGTTTTACGAATAATAAAACTTAAACTCTGAAGAATGATGAATAAATAAATAAATAATAGGAGTACAGTACAGCTTTATAAATAAGAAAACTTAAAATTATTTGTTTACTTATACTCTGAAATTTACCCCCGGTAGAATGTATCGCTCAACGTCTTTCAGCACTTCCTGCCAAGCTTCCGGTTTTTGCGGTGCTTCTTTCGGCAATAATTGACTGAGGTATCCTGGCTCAATGTCTGGAAGGACAGGCCTGTTCCTCAAGTTCTCTGTGTAGTCAGCCACGAAATCGATCGCTGCTTTACCAAAATCAACGAAGTTCTTCGAATCCATGGTTGTCCAAAATTTTCCAAAAGTAGGTCCTTCGAATAACTGTATCGTGAGGCAAGACAAAATGTATTAAAATACAATACAATGACATACAGTAAAGATACTTCTTATTATGTTGCATTGTAAGAAAAGCTGTAATTACTTTATTTGAAAAGTGTAATAAATTTCAAAAGCATCTGTTACATTTTCATGTAACTGAAAAACAGTAAATACTACTTTTAAATATATATTATTGACGTTATCGGATCAAAAGTAAAAATGAACAAAATTAATGAAAATAAAAATTATGGATGTTATTAGATCACAGACTCAGTAGGTAAGTAACATCACCGATAAAACAGAACAAAGTTTCATCGATCGATACATCCCATATAGAACGTTAATTTCCTTCTAAATAAAAGAAAGGACCTTAATTTATATTCCAGTACACTATATTACTAATTTTATACGGCAGACAATAATTCACGAGGACAACATTCCTTTACTATTAATAATCCGTTGATAAATAAATACAAGCAAATGAAAAACATACACAGAAACTGAAGTAAAGAAAACTCTTATCACTTTGTTATTAAAGATATGCAAAAAGGATTGAGAGAAGCGAACGAGCGTAATAAAATAAATAACAAAAATTGTTCAACATTCGTAAACGAAGATAATTAAAACGCACCTTTTATTTACAACGTTCTGTCACAAAAACTATCAACGAAACATGTTAAAAAAAAGGAACTTTTCTTCGGAAATGAATATTTTTCTCTAAAATCTCGCATACGATTAGCACTGAATCGGATACACGGGATCGGAAACACGGTGTCGAGTCGAGAACGGTCCTCGAAAAAGTGAGTTCGCTTGAACCGCGCTGGATAACGTTAAATGCCCAGAGACATAGAAAACTTTCTCCCGCTTTCTCCATAATTATACAAAAAACTGAATCTGTGTACGTCGCGGAGGAAACGGAAAAAGGTCCTATTTCGAGATGCGTCTTCGTAGAATTTCGTGATCGCGTGTCTGATTCGGCGCGTGATCCTCCGACGATCCTTTGACGTCATCGTTCGAGGTGTCTCTATTGTCGAACGATGCAACGTCTACGAAGGTTGTTTCGCATTTTTTTTTCTTCAACGTAGAAAATTCAACTAACGACGAACGGCTATGGTGTCGAGATAAATAGCGGAACGAGTTATATAAATGAGATGCAATTATATCGAGCCGTGGAACTTCGA